TACAAAGAATGAAGGGGTGGTCAAAGGAATAGAATGATGAAGTAAGGAAGGGTAGTAGTAAGAGTTAGCATACATATAGTTTATAGACAGTGTCCCTGAGGGATGGAAGTCCTGAGTTCTGGTACAGAAGGGTGCAGAACCCTTGGAACTGAAGGTACAAGAGTAGAGAACCATAACATCACCCCCCCTCTAAAACCAATTGTCCTGATTAGTGAGTATTGAGCTTGGTCAGTAGTTTAGGCATAGGTCAGAACAGTAGGGTTTGGAAATCTGTGAGGCAGAGTTGTCACAGAGTACCCAGATGAAGTTAATAGAAGTCTTGGATTGTCTTAGCAGTATGGGTGAGATTCTTAGCAGGTTCCCAAGTACATTCTTCAACTAGGTATCCCTTCCAGTGAATAAGGAACTTGAGCTTTCTGTACACTAGCTTAGTATCCACTATGTATTCTACTTTGTATTCTGGTTCAGAACTAATGAGTTCTGGTGGAGGCAGTAAGAGTCTTTGTTGTGAAGGAAAACCTGGATCATAGTATCAAGACAGTAGAACCTTATTAAACACTGGGTGTATGTGCTTCTATGTTGCTAGAAGTTGGAGTTTGTAGACAGAGGCACTAACCTTCTTTTTAATAACAAAGGGTTCAAAGCACTTGTTGTCCAACTTCTTTATTAGGCAATCTGTGGTCAGGTTAGTAGCTTCCAGCATAACTTTGTCACCAGGCTAGTAATCCTTGGCCACAGACCTCTTCCAATCATAGTTTCACTTTATGACCTGTGCTACCTTTTCCAAAAGAGCTTGTGTGTCCTCCCTGGTTCTGTGTATCTGTTCTACAAAGTCTGTTGTAGATTCAGAACTACTGTTCTGGTTCAGAACTGTCCTCTGGTATGGATGTCTCCTATGATTGAGGAAGAACAGGGACTGTCCTGTTGTAGAGTGTTGCTAGTTATTGTGTACAAATTCTGCTAGAGCTAACCATTCAGACTAATCCAATTACTAATGATTGATGAA